TGTCTTTTATTCCCATAATTCTCCTTACTTCATCAGAGTCGGATATTCCATTCAGGCTTCGGAGAATTCAGTTTCCAATACGAGTAAGTTTTGCTATGTTTATTACCAAAGCACAGGGCCAGTCTTTATCAATTACTGGACTACAGTTAAAAGAATCCTGTTTTTCATATGGGCAGTTGTATGTTGGTTGTTCACGTCAGGATATGTAATATCAAATTGTTTGTTTATGATCAATACTAAACAATACAAAACAAAACAATAAGCCAAAATTTGAAGAAGGAATTTACTCAACAGTAAGGATTGCCAGAAAGAATATATTTTTGAGAAAACTCAAGAAGTTTAAACAAAAGTCTATATGAACACAAAAGAGACATTTTAAAAAATAACACACTAAACGCTTTAGTTGTTCATCGTAATGAAACTGACCACAAGTTTGACATAACAAAATGCTACTCTGGTTAAAAAAGAAAATAATTCACTAAGCCGAAAATATCTAGAAAGTTATTTAATCGCTAATTCAGCCACAGTAAAGTTACGTGCAGGTTCTTACAACGTTTTACAATTTTTGGCAGATTTTCTGTTATAAAAATGTGGGATATTTAAAAACAAATACGGTAGAAAGAAAAAGAATATAGTTTAATTTGACTAGATTGCAAAAATTCTTTCAAAAATTTTGAAATTACTAAAGACTCTGGTTCATGCTCATGTGTAGTCACAACAACGGTCACAAACCCATCCGGTGAAGTGCGTCTCAAGTAAATATTTTACACTTTGTCTTACAATATATATATATATATATATATATATATATATGTGTGTGTGTGTGTGTGTGTGTGTATGCGCGCATTTGTGTGTTTAGATATTTTTGTGTGTGCCCATTTAAATAGATGTAATCAAAATATAATATCAATTAAATATATATACAAGGGACATAATTTTATGTCTATCACACACACAGACACACAGACACACATACACACACATACATACACACACACTTATATATATATATATATATATATATATATATATATATATATATATATATATATATGAATGTATATTAACAGATCGTGGTGAAGCCTAAAAGCAAAACATTTAAACCTACAGTGGGAAGAGAGGGAAAAGAATGTCGGTGGCGCCGCAAACAAAAAATAAATGTCTCGTGAAAGTTTGCAATACGATACACAAATTCTCCAACATAGTTTTACTGTCTCAACACGCGCCTGACATCTCGAAAATCAAATCGTAGATAACAGCCAACTTCCAAAGTGTTCTTGATTTTCATTCTCTTTTATATTCGTTTTATGACTTAGCAAACCAAAATCTCTTCTTTTGTCTCGCTGATGACTTTCTTCCTCTTTCGTTTTTCCTACGCTTTTTCACTCACCTTGTTTAGTTTTTTCGATATCTCTTGCCCTACAATGTGACCGGCCCTTGAAATCGAAATCTTTCAATGGTTGCTGTACACTGCACAGACAGGAAATATGTACTGTTTCCCAGCTTTTGTTAGCCTGGCCTGGGGTCGGAGTCGACATCTCGGAAGGAAATTAACGGGGGATATTTTACGGAAGGACACCGAACTCGAGACGGGCACAACGAACAGATTGTACGAAATGAAACTGAACCTTTTCATTATGGCGTCATAAACACAGGCCTTACGGTCAAGCCATAAAATAAGTTGCATCGGTGACAAATACGTCTGTATATAAAAACTTGATTCCTCTTTCTCTTCATCTTTACCTCTTTCGTTCTCACTTTCTCTATTTCCTGCGCAAACACAAACACAAATACACACACCTTAACAGAAAGATCTAGGATTATCTTATATACCATCATGATTATACAGGCTTTATAAAGCCAAAACGAGTAAAAGTTCTGGCTCATCTTTTGACGTCGGTGTGTGAAACTTTTTGATGTTTTGGGTTAAAAGTATATACCTCCAATAAGTCAAGGAAAAAAAGAGCATAGCACGATGAAAATATCCAAAGTATGATATAAAACAAAGTTTTATCGTCAAAATGTTTATTTCATTATGAAGAAAGACCAAGTAATGTATTATTTTATTAAATTTTGTAAACGTTCGAAATTTTGGTTAAAACCTTGTGTTTTTTTTCGTCAGTGTGGGCAGCAAAGATTAGTATAGGAAATTTTAGTTTTTTTTTTCTTTTTTGGTAAAACAGACTGATTTGGAAATTCTTGCACAAGTCAAATAATTTTCGGAAATTAAACTGATTTACAGGACTTATTTACAAATGAATTAAATTATTTTAGAATTATTTTTAGAGAATCCTTTTTTTTACACTTGTTACCCGCCATAATTAATTAATGAAATCCCCAGAAATTAAATTTTGTATCTCTTTATATTTATATTAGTTAAAACCAGGACTCCTTGGAGAATCTAAATCATCGATTTTTTCAAACAGATACTCATTTAGCGAAAATCTGCTTTGAATCGGACAATAAAAATGCGATCAAACTAAGACATTATTTAATTAGAAAAGCTTTTAATTACTTTTATATATATATATATATATTAAGGACACTATTGTCTTAAGAAAAATTTCGATGAATAATGAAATTTTACAAGATTTGTTTCATTTTTTAAAATTCAGAATAACATTACGATTTAAATATTTTTTCAAAAACTTAACATTCTGTATTAATATTCTACATTTTTAGATGTTATGATTATTAAGTGAAAATATAGTTAGTAATCATACATTGAAAAGCCTAGTACAAATCCTCAAGCAGCAATATTTCAAAAAGAATTTTTGAATATTTTATGTGCATAAACATGTCGACTTTCTATATACGCTCGAACATAGACGACATTATCTGAAAATAAGAGCGATCTCTTTAGTAAATTTACAGCCAAAAATATTTTAAATTTAATAAAACCTTAGATTACAGAGAATATTTTCTTAAATTTTTAAGATTATTGAATTCTTTATATATAAAGGTACTCACGTTAATTCTATTAATCTTTTAACGCTTAAAGTCCCCATTGAATATCATTAGATGAATATCAATCTGTAATCAAGCTGTCAAAGCAGAGGTCACCTTAGATAAACAGCACACATCCTATATGCGGTTAATTCTTGTGCAGTAGGAGTTGCCTCAAATTCTTTTGGAGAATAGTATAATTAGAAATTCCAAAAACGAATTGGAAATATTCCGACTGAAACAGGAATGAAATCAGCAAAATATTGAGAAGAATCCAGATGTCATTTGAAGATCGACATGTCACTTGATCTGCAATAATAACGACTAAAAAGCTTAAGGGGGAAAAATTATAACCTGCAAATCAGAAGGAAGACAGATAACACAATGAGAATAATACTGGGGATTTTGTTAGAAGCTTCATTTCATCATCATCATCATCATCATCATCATCAACAACAACAACAATTTGCTTTCTTGTTGGCATGGCAGTCAAATAATATATAAATGAGGTAAAATATATCTGGATAGAGTACTATTTATATACTGAGGATTGTGCATATTAGAAAAAGTGTGAATTATTAATTCAAATTGATCAAAAAATCTCGTCTAGGAGAACATACATTGTGCTTGATTGATTTGTTTCTTTCGGCTGATCAACCTTTTTCAGTTTATTTAAAGCCAGAAATATATCTAGATTGTAAGAAATGCTTTTTGAAATAATAATGATTTACTGATAGCAGTCTTACTATTTGACCCATAGTTGGGGAAGAATTAGTGGATTCATGACTTTCCCAAATCTATTTCCGAGTAACTGAATATAACGTACCCGACTGGAATTTGAACTCGGTTTTCCGCTTTCCAATTCCGAGTCTTTACCCATTACACCATCCGCACATGTAAGCTTATAGCACCTGGTATTCCCAAGCGGTCATTCATCCAGGCTCAACTTTGTTTAACTTTTGTGAGTATCAATGATTCAATGTGATATGGTCGTACCCAAGAGTTACCATCTGGAAGATATTCATGTTTCGTCAGAGCACAGTGTGTAATTAAAAGCAAAGAAAGCACTTAAAAATATATTAACTTTGCCAGTGGACGTAAAATCGTGTGGAATTTCAAAGATTCGATGATACCTATTGTTGTTGTTTGTATTTGGAATCGACCCTCTTACAAAAATAATGGGAGATAATAAGAAACCAGCCAAATGAGCATATTACTGCATCTACGTAAAATAAAGAGGAGGGTGAAAGACGGTTGAAGATAATTTATGCTACTTTTTGATAGGTGATCTCTTGTGAAATATTATAAAAAATAATACAAGTATATGACTGCAAAATAACAATTGTAAATATTAGATTTGCAAAAAGAAAAACTTATAATAATATATAACAGGCAATGAGGTTTCTATTACAAACTGGAAATCAATTATCAGCATTTATTTGGTGAGTTTTGTCACGTACAATGTCACAAGTGTGAGACAGTCAATGAGGTTATAACTCACGACGTAAAAATATTCTGCTCAATGAGATAATCATTATTACACAGCAAGGCACCAATTAATTGTTTATATATAGACTATCATAAAATATATTACTTAATGATAATTATATTAGAATGAATAAGTATCGTTGCTTTTTGGCTTTGATTCATGAATTTATCATTTCGAAATGAGTACTTTTTTTTCTGAGAGATGGGGGAGTTGAGCAAATTATTGTCGTTTTATCCGTGACATTGTCAGTTCAAGAGAAACCTCCATTAAGGCAAAAACGACGGAACTGATTATTTTGCGACAATAAAAAAAAAAATTCCCAACTGTTGGTTTTCCTCATTCTGAATAGCCGGACTGAAAAAGTCAACATAGTTCAGAAATGTTTGCCTAGTCTAAATTCATCTGGTATAAGGCTAAAATTCTGTGGTATCCAATGAGTACTGAAAATACTACAGTAAAAATTGTCTGCATGACGATCGGGCTGTCCACATCAATGAGAAAATTTATTACAATATGGTATAAGTGTGGGGCAACCACTAACGATTCCGGCTTACTGTTACATCACGTTGAAACACAGGTCACCGTACGATCACCGAAGTGAAGCAAGGTCGAGCCTGGTCAGTAACTAGATGGGTAACCGTTTGGGAATACCAAGATTTGTCAGCTTGGATGTGTGGGTGGTTTAATGGATAATGGTTCGAAATTGTTGAGCCGAGTTTCAATTCCCGTTGTCTTCTTTATATTCACTTACAAATATCCGAATCCACATCTTCTCCACCAAGCTACGGGTTAATTATTTATACTTTTATTACTAAACCATTATTATTTTTTACCCCACCCAGCAAAAATCGTACTATCTAAAAAATTTTTCTGCCTAACCTTCAAAAGGGGTGATAAACTGTAAAAAAGATATCAATAAAACCACTCAATATTGCGCTCACTTGAGGAGTAATGGTCTACGAATCTAAATGGTTAATCTAAATACTTTACGGCAAGGTATTCAAGCTTAAGTTACATGTTTAGTAAAGATCACAGGACATTGTTCAATGTGGAACTGCTACTGTGCAAAAGAGATTTTTTTTTCTATTCAATGTACATTATCACAATTTTGGGGGGATTGTCTATTACAAAAGTTTAGATTAAATGTAAATTTTATAGTAAATTTGTTTTTGATGAAATTCACCAAAAAGACAATCCGATTATTTATTTCTAAAGTATACTAAAAATAAATTAAAATTTGATGTCGCAAACACGTCTAATCTCATAACTACATCTACTTTAAGCATCTTTTTATCATGTGTTATGTTCTCTGAACAAAATAATATATCCCATAAATATCATCAGTTGCGATCTTTTCTTTTTACTAAAAGTTCACCCAATACAAGACTCAAGAGCCGCTCAAGCTAGAGGGTTACTGAATGATGTTGTTATATGGACGTAAGAGGTGGAATTAAGTGCAGATTAAGATGACATTTAGGAGAGATGAGGATTGAAACTAGACTTAAAAGTTTAAGATTGTAGTTGTCGGGCAAGTTTCCTGTCTGCAGTCTGTTCAATAAACTAAGGGATCTAAGGGGGAAGCTGGGGTAATTAGGATAATTTGATAATGTGTATGTAGTGTAGTGGATCCCAGCTGTAAGTATCTGAACTGGTGGAACGGTGGAATGTAGCTGGTCTATATATTTACCACGCGAATAGCGATAGAATTGCGTTTCGTCTAAAGGAAAAGTTGTGAAAGGTTGAAAATAACTCATCTCTCACAACATCGCGATCGACAGCCGAATATTTCTTAAGATCCAATCAATTCAAACATTGGGATAAAGATAAACATCCGAAGGAATAAATGATAATCAGCTTCTTTGAAAATAAATAAATGTTGAAAAATGCATAAAAGAATAGAAAATAAATATTTAATCTTTTCAACGAAGTTCTTTTTCTTCGCCTTTGGCCAATGCGAACTCCGGACTCCCACAGATGCCTGATTGATATTTCAATGAGAAAACTTCGTCGGAAGCATGTTAATTATTCCTTCATGCAATTACTGTCGTTATCTATACTTGTTCTTCTTTTGAACTTGCTAGATTCCATAAAATGGAAGTATTTCATCTTTTCATGATTTGTAAATATTAAATTCACTTTTTCTTTTCTTCCGAACAAATAACCTGAAATGGTGGCATTAAATGACAATCTACTAATTGACAAATATCTGTCTCTAATGAAAACTTGAATTTCGGAATTATGTATTCTGCTTGAACACTGAACTCAATTCACGAGAAACTCTTCTGAAATTAGTTTATTGATGCCCCAATGTTGCATTACTTTTTAATTTTATTCATCCCGCAATCGATCCTACATTGCATTCCTAGAACAGAAAGGGTTACTGGACACAGCACTTTCACAAGTCATGTTACATGGTATCATTGGATCAGAGGAAGACTTCCGGCATAAGAGCCGAGACTCTAATTAAAAAATACATTGGCGAAACGAAAGAAATATAGTGCGAAGGAAACGGCATTCAAATTGGTTTCGTTGTATTCTTCGAACTGATTTTCCTCTTCATTCGCCATCTTAGATTTAAAGAAATTTATATATTAATGAAAATGAATTCGAACGCACAATAAAAGCATTCAACAAAAAAAGTTAGCTTTATTTTTTTAAGTTCTAAAATCGAATAAATTCATCATATGAAAATCAAGGATCAACATGACATTTGTAAGGACAATAAGAGTTACTTTCCGTGGTTATGAGCTAGTGAATTCTTTTTTTCTTGCGAAAACCATCTTTTTCGGACATTGAGGTCTGGCGCTATAGAATCACAAAAAAAGAACTGTATCAGATAATAGAAACAACTTCACTTGAGGTGTTTCATCAGCATCAACAGCTAATATGCAACTCGAATAATAACGCAATCAAGATGTTGATATTTCACACTACTTCAAAGAAAAAAGTTAGGAAGCACACCTCCATCAATACTAGAAAGCTCTGTAAAAGCTACTGGAATTGAGAAGCCCGATTTCCTGAAAGATTATTTTAACAGAAAGATTCTTTAAATTTCAATCGACAGTAGCACTGGCTGCTCAGTAAATGAAAGTCTAATATTTACTTATAAGAAAATGGTTCATATTGCCAATACAATTATCATTTTCCCGCAACAGCAAGCATGTAAATGATTGAATTAGGTTCCATTATACAATCAGTTTCTGATATACTGGAAGATGTGTGTTGATGCTGTCTTTGAGTATCAGTATTTTACTGTGAGGCTCTTCGTAGACGAGGGGTAAAACACACCAGATCAAACAATGGCTTCGCCTATAAAAAAGAGCAGCAGGTTCGATCTCTGCCGGAGAGCACATCTTCTTTATTACGATTTATCGAATACGCAGACTGATATACGTAATACACACTGTTTAAAGTAAAAATAAAAATGGACCGTTTGTTAGAAATACGATTATCTATTATAATAAAGGTTGACGTTATATACACATATTTATAGCGTAGTGTTTTCGTGTTTCAGCTCCTTTCACTAACAAGCACATTAAAACAGCACTTCATCTGTAGTTGAGCCAGGAATTGATGAGACTATCTCCAGGTTCTAATGCCGGAGCATCCAACAAGAATCCTGGTGAAGGACAACATTTACTAACTACGTTTATACAGAAAGGATTCTAAATTTATATAATTCTTCCAGTTTGCATCAGTATGTGTGAACAAACATGTATATGAGTGTAAATAGGCATGTATACAGATGTATGTATTCAATATTAGCTTTTATACATTGTGAATAACTATTACTATGACGAAAAATATTGCTATTTGGTTCCTGTCTATTTCTTGGCCCACTAATAAAAGGCTGTCAAATATACTGACAAAAATAAACGCTGAATACGAAGGTAATTTTACGACTGTGTTAAAACGTTGGTGAAATTTACTTCATGAACAATTATAACCATTCAAGGGACAAACATCGCCACTTACTTCTCTCTTTCCTCCATTTTGCAAAACGCATAAAATGGGAACAATGATTTAGTATGATAGCCCTGTATGATAGATTAAATATTTGTATAAGATGTTGATACAATAATCCAGTTAAAGCGATAATATTTCCGATATTTCAGTAGTTTTGCAATTGTTAGCTTAATAAAGTATATCTTATTTCAAATATATATATATATATATATATATATATATATATATATATATATATATATATATATATATATATGAATAAAAAGACAAGAATAATTCTCTATTCTTAGACAATGCGTTTCGTGCTCTGGGAATTTTTATCAAGGCAATGTAAGATTTCTTTTGTTGCACGTGTTTATAGAACTAGGATTCCATTCGTTTATCAAGGTCTTTAAATTTGAGAACGTTCATGAATATTCATCAGGTGGTTGAAAGGTCAATCAAAACATGGGAAGGACATAAAATGTCATAATTCAAAGTCTGGTAAGACGAAAGTAAACTAGTTTTGTTCAAGATCTTTTTTATTAATATAGGAATATATTTTTAAATTGTGATCAATGAATTTAAAATCATTGATAAACCAATGACATACTTGCTTTTGAATATAAACAGGTGCAACAAAAGAAATCCTAGGTTTGCCTTGATAAACACTCTCAGACAACGAAACCGGTCGGATAAGAAGTTTGTTTTCTTACACTATTTACATTGTTCGGACTATCGTCCTCATCTTTCTTGCCATATTCATCACAACGTTTCTGCCGTTGTACGCTCCGACCTTCTTCAGGTGGTTGGAATGTCAAACTGAACCCTTTCTTTCGCTCGCTAGGGTAGACTGTTCTAGTTCCAGTGCTCATATTTCAATTTTTGCTGTTATCATTCTATGTTGTTTACCAGAGCTCATATTGAAATTTTTGTTGTTATTATTGCTTTTCTCTGGCATCCTTATTACTGGTTCCCATATTGTATTCATTTTTATGCAATATACAATATGAGCACTGGTAAAAATGGTTGCTGAAGCCATTAGGTTTATAAGTCCCAGAAATTCATGCGCAGGACACATGGAACAGTGGATAAAGGCGTTAGTTAGTTCCAGTGACAGGACACACAGAGTGTGAAGTTCAATACCTGGTTAAGGCAGTGTAGCACTTGCAGAGGGAAAGTAACAGAAGATGACTGATAACTGACATCGATTAGACGTGGGACTAGAACAGTCTATCCCACTGAGTGATTAAAGGGTTCAGTTCGACATTCCAACCACCTGAAGAAGACCGGAGCATACAACCCTTTCTCGTGTCTTTTTGTTCCTTTACAGATAAATACAATCTATCTATCTATCTATCTATCTATCTATCTATCTATATATATATATATATGATGGTAATAAACAATCTTATTTAAAATTGCAATTATTGAAGTATCACATCATTTTGCATTTTTGGAACATTTTCCATAAAAAGTAAAAAGGATTTATATAAAGAAAAAGGAAAGAAAATAAGAAATCAATAATAGAAAAGAAATGAGAAAAAGAGAAAGGCAAGAGAAAGCATAAGAAATTAACCCTACTACAAAGAGAAAAGATAAAAAAAAAAGTAAGGCAAAAGAGATAGAGAAGTATATTCAAAATTACACAGATACAAAGGTAGAGGAAAGTTAAGAAGTAGGCATATTGAAAGATGTTCATACGAATTAAGCCAATGAAATGACGTTGAATAAGAGAATTCAAAATTCAACGGAAATGTTGCGTAAATGGATACATTGTTTACCAATAACACATTTTGAATTTTATGGTATTTTATAAGAAATTATATATTCAAACAAAATTATCCATAGAATGTAAAAAAGGACCCTTTAAGAAGTAATACAGTACTTAACAAAACTTATATTATAAAATAGAATACAAAATAAATTTTAAAATTCTCTATTGTTATAATAATTTTAATTCGAAACTATTATTAAAACAGCAACAGAAAAATAAATAAATTAAAATAAAATTAAAAATAAATAAAATAAATATAAAACTAAAAGTAAAAATAATAAGCTAATTAGTGGATAATCATACCACTAGTAATTTACGAGAATTAACCGATATAATACTTAAAAATAGAATGAATTAACGAAAATAACATTAAAATGTTCATAAAGATAATAAACATAAAAACATTGTTTCTTGAGTCAAGAAATTTAGCAGGATTGCAGGTTTAATTCTTGTGCTTGTGCTTGCAACTTACCGCTCTTTCATATCTGATTCAATAAAATGTCATTATTCAAGTACTTAATTATTTCCTTTTACTCAACCCCCAACGAGGTCAGGTTGTGATACAAGGTCGGCTTAATGTGGAGAGCCCCAGCGCGTACGCCCGGGCTAGGAACAAAATTTGTATGAACCCCTGCAACCGAAGGTGCGAGCACCGATCCTTCTCTCTGGTGCAATGAGAGGACACGGCCTCGGGCAGCTGTTCCTCAGGGCTGGGCTTTGTATAAAGTATGTTAGATTATATATATATATATATATATATATAGAGAGAGAGAGAGAGAGAGAGAGAGAGAGATAGATAGATAGATAGATAGATAGATAGATAGATAGATAGATAGATAGATAAAGATATTTGAACAAGGACTTGATATCACAGACATAATTATAGTTTTGAAAATACATGATGACATTCCTTAAGCTAAAAATGCCCGAGTGTTTTTTTTCAAAACAGTATACATAATTACAAATATATATATATATATATATATATATATATATATATATATATATATATTGATATATAGTTTTTCAAAGATACATGTTTTGCAAATCACAGTATACTATAGGAATTGTGTCTAACGCATGCGATTAGTAAAACTTACGAAAAGATTTTATTATTCATTAATTAAAATGCTTTTCGTTCAAGAAAAATTTGAACGCGATGAATCGCCGCTCGGACTATTTGTATGAATTCATCAAATATCGTCCATCCTATTTTCTTTTGCAAAATTTCAAAAATATGTTGAACGAGATACGCGCAGAGTGAAGACAATGATTGATAATAATTTAAAATTTAGTCTAAATACATAGAAAGTGATTGAGGTATAAATGGTCCGACGATCCTTGATAAGAGAAGATAGTTATAGTGCTTTGCATAGAGTTGTAGAAGAAAAAAAGAAAACTGTATTCCTACAATCTTCCAGGTACGTTAACATCCCGGCTTTCACCTAGAATCAGATAACGTATTTCTGTGCCAGCAGTAAGTTAAATAATTACATCAATAGTCCAGTACGACGCCACATTCGAACAAAAATATGTAAATATGAATTGGGATGTGCACATATGCAAACGTAAATCAAACATTATTGAAAATTTAAAAATAGGTACATACATACATAGAAGGTGGAGGAAGAGTTCGCATCGACGTCTTTACACATTGTTTGTAAAATCTTAGAGGTATATTTTTAAATGTATTTATATCTTATTACCTTGTAATCAGTTAACCATATCATTTCGTCTTTTTAATTACTTCAAAAAAATTAATTTCATCCGAACGAACATCTTTTCGCTGTTAAATATTAATATTTTTCTTGCTTGACAAACAAACGGTAAGTGGAAAGAGATGAAAAAAAAATAGACATATTTCTAGAATCTGAAAGCAAACGACATCATGGTTGAATCCAGTATATTATTCATCATTATAAATGAATCGGAATCAATTGGTGAAAGTGAGACTGGGATTTTCTACCTGGTCGGATGCAAAAGGAAGGAATATTTCGACAAATTTCGATAAAGAATCAATGCGCATCTTTTAATTGAATAATTGTTTCAATTGAACAAGGGATTTTATGGTATACAAGGAAGTTGATCAGTGTTACAAATACATTCGTAGCATGCTATCATGGAGTTGATGTTGGACGTCCTTCTGTCTGCCTTCGTGTTCGCTTCGTAGAACTGTTCTTCTTCGGCCAGTGGTGCCAACAAAATGGAAAAATCACTTCAATGAATCATGAAATTAAATTCAGTATTGGTCATTTCGGATGTAATTCACAATTTAGGTAAAGGGGTCCTAACTTCAGAGAAAGTCAAAGTGATAAAGAGAATATGTGATAAAAGAACTGGGAAATTTTGCAAAATGTATAAATTGCTTTGCGTAATGTTTTTGATAGTGAATTATATCCTAAAGAAAACTGAAAGTGTTCTAAAGTTGCATTTCTATTCTCCCTGTTTCATTTTCATGATTTCTCTCTGTCAATCTTTATACCCTATCTTTCCCTTTGCATACCTCTTTCTCCTTCCCTTCTCTGTATATATATATATATATATATATATATATATATATATATATATATATATATATACGGATAGATAGATAGATAGATAGATAGATTAGATGGATAGATAGATAGATAGATAGATAGATAGATAGATAGATAGATAGATAGATAGATAGATAGAGAGTGAAATCTGAGAGCGAAGTGAAATGTTTTTGCTTCTGCAACAACAGCTGACAGCAGGAAAATAAATGAGCAGGAAAAAGGAAAATCTCGTCGGAGATTTTGTCGATGAAGAAGACAGCACAACGGTGACAGGTCGGGGTAGGAAGTTATCGGGGAAATATTGGAGTGATAAATCAGGCTTTGATAGCCGCCATTCTGGACACTAGCATTGTCCCCGGCCTTTTTAGTCCTCTCTAATTTCCGGCTGCATTATAGTCTAACATAATATTCTTTCTGTTCCATTTTCTCATTATCGTCCATACCCTCCTCCTCTTCCTTTCTTTTTGCCATGCTCTCTTACTTTTTTCATCGCCGTATTATTTCTTATTCTAAGTCGTTCCCTCTTTAATTTTGACTTCTTCTATATTTGAATAAGTTTCTTTTTTCTCTCTCTGTTTATCCCGTTATTTTTCTTCATGTCTCAGGATTTTCAGTGTTCATTTTTTTCTTAAATTTATTTTAATACGAGCAAATTTCTGAATTATTTAAAGTTTTCTCATTTCATTCCATTTCATCTTTACATATCGCCAATTATCGCGCATTTCCGCCATTTTCTTTCCATCTTACTTTTTCACCATATTATTTCCCTATTTCTTCTTTTATTTTTCTCTCTCTTTTTCATTCTAAGTCTTTGGTCCTCTCTCTTATTTCGTTCATTCTTCCCTTCGTCTCTCATTTCTCCTTTCACGTTTCTTTCTCCCTCTTCTTGTTTCATGTCTATATCTTTTTCTTTTTTTTTTTTTCTTCTATTCAGGTTTCTTTTATTGCGTATATATTTTTTCTTCTTCATTTCTTTCATTCTTCAACTCTTTCTATTCTCTTCATTTTTCTTGATCTGACGTACATAATATCTTTTTTTTCATTTACATTCCTATTCCAAATCAGTATAGACATTTGAAAATGCAAACTCAAATCACCTGCAATGCAAAGAACAGGTGTATTTCCTCGGTCTAAATTTATAAGTAATATGAAAATGAAGAACAAAATAAACGTCGGGGTATGATAAACAAAACCACTCGAGTTTGAATGGAATGTATTCACTAAATATCGAATATGTTTATACCCATTGAACAACATTATATATTAATTTACGTAACACTTCAATTTAGACATTCGTTGTTAACGGTGGAGAAATTTCTTGACTGAAAATGTCCTTCTTCATAAAAGTTCGGAAGAAAAGTGAGATGAGAAGTATGAGTCAAGTTTTATTTTAAGTTTAATATTTTTCAAGCAATAGAATTATTTGTTTCAATTGTATGCCATGCTTTTTAACAATTGGAAATTATTTAGGATTTTGTAGTGTATTTTAAGGAGAAAGCAAATGCCTTCCAATGTTGTGAAAAAATAGTGCAACGACTTCTATACTTTTCTATACAACTTTTATAAGTTCAAAGAATAGGCAAGCTGAAAAGTGGGTTTGGTGAAAAAAAATCTACGAGTTTGCAAACACGTCCTATGCAATTCAAAAAGTAATGAACACAGCAATTGAAACGCGAAATTTTCTGACATTAAGCAACATTTATTCGAAGACCTAAAACATGTCAGCCAAAACGTTGGGTAAATAATAAAAATCTCATTCATATTTTTGTATAATCTTTAGAGTACAAATGATTATAGGAATACAAGTGAAATAGAATAAATTAGTAATTGTTGATGTGTAACAGAAAATGAAGGAAATAAAAAGCTTTATTTCGTGACGTTGTTTTAATTTTTCCTTTTTCTTTGCATTGGATAATTCATTTGTTTTTAAAAAATGCATTAAAATCATTTCCTGTATATTGTTTTAAATATGAACAAATGTCAATAAGTGTGACAGGCAAACAGAAATAAAGAAGACAAGAAAACATTAGATTAAAGCTATAAATATTAAATATACAAAAATGATAAAATAACGAAAGAAAAATTATGACAGAAAGAAAATGACGTAGAGAGAAAATAGAAAAAAGAATGAAGGGAAAGGAAAAAGAAACAGCAAAATAAAAAAGAAGGAAATAATGAAAGAAATAAAAGCACAAAAATGACGCTGCTCAAATAAATAAAGAAAGAAAGAAAGAAAGAAAGAAAGAAAGAAAGAAAGAAAGAAAGAAAGAAAGACCGACAGTGAAAAGATATAAAATAAATATTAGGCAGAAGGAAATAAAGAATTATAAGAGCAAAAAGAACAATGAAGGACTTGATAAGAATCGAAAAACGAGAAAAGAAAGAATATAATGAAGAATAACAGAATGAACGAACGAAGGTGGAGAATGTTTGAAATCCCCTGAAAGCAAAATATATTCATTTGAAAGTTAATAAGATAATTGAAGGTAACTTAATATGAAAGGAAACATAATAAATGTATGGGTGAAATTGATTTAGGAAAAAGAAAATAAAGAAAAGGGGGAATTAAAAAAAAAACAGAAACTCTGAAAAAAGCAAAAATGAATTAAAAGGAAAAAAAAGACTGAGGAGTGAAAGGAATTGGACAAAATGAGAATTAACACAAAATCGAAAGTAGAATGAAACATATCGAAATGCCAAAAGAAACATTAAGGGATTCAAATGACAAGTGAAAGAAAACAAAACTTATTGAGAAAGAGACAATGAATGATTGCAATTATAGTGTTATGTAGAGATTCACTGTATTTATTTCTGATTAGAGCTTCCCGAATGTGAAAAATGAATTAGTGAATATTCAAAATATTTCAAATTGCATAAAAGAATGTCCGTCGTTTATTCATGGATTAAATCCGCTCTGCACAAGCAAAACTTTCTCAAGATTCTACTCTGAATAAAATGTTAACAAAAAGAGATAAAAACTGTAAATCCCCTATTTTCTCTAAAGGATTATCTCATTGTAGTTACAAATGTGTTCAACTTCAATCACTGTCTACTTTCACTTTCACCCAAGCGCAGTGGACGTGTACTTTAACTTTCACCCAAGCGCAGTGGACTTTCTCTTTCGTTTACTCTTAACGCGTATCATTCAATTCTTTTAAAATAATGAATGCATGTCATATTATATTATATTATATATATATATATATATATATATATATATATATATATATATATATCCTCACGAACAGTTATACACACAAGCATGCGTGCGACACACGGGCCTTCATTCTTGTTCCAACTGAAAATCATAGCTAGATAGTTTAAGCAAAGATCTGTCTGCCTTATAGAAATATGGTTAACGATTAGACTTGTTAAGCAATTCCTGGCGGTTTGAATTCGGCACTGATTTACTGACCACCTATTGTGGTCCTAACATAGGACTCCTGTGTCAGATTAAATTGTATTTAAAATATATAAGTACATAAGTACCAGTATATAATAAGTACCATCACTGTTTTCTAATCTATAAGGTGTTTACGTATTAAGTGAACAAAACTAGATTTCTCACAGTCGCACCTTAAAGTAAATAAGCATAAAATCAATGAAATAAAAAATCCAGACAACCAAACCTCCGTAACCAAAAGGTTAATATTTCTCTGCTTATTGCTTTATTTTAATTTATAAAACTTGTCGATCTCTGCATATAGAATATGTCAGACTTCTAAGGAAGCTGCCTTGTATAACCCATTATCCATTATGTATTATACTTTAATTATATAATCATTGTTGTTTTCGCCATTCATAAAATAGTTACTGTTACGGAAAAACGTCTGCTTATCTCTAATTATTTTCTTTTCGGGCCATATTTTAGATTGTAATTTCATTTTACTGATACATTTGGACAAGGCAGTCTGTTTGAGTTTTCGCCTTAGTGTTCTCTGCTGGATTTCTAAATTTCTCACACGTCTCTGTTTCCATGTTTGTTATAATGATGACTACAGATGTTACTTCACACAAATTTCGGTTCATTAATATTAATATTATTATTTACGCACTGAGTGCACACACAAGTAGAAACTGAAGGCTTGTATTGGTTATTAAGGGGCAATAACTCCTCTAAATATCCCTGCAATTTTCTTAGTATTCTAAAATGTTTCAGTAACGGTGTCTTTTGGGAGTTTTGACAGTTCTTCGCCATTCTATTTATTTAAGCCTTTTATCTAGGCTGCGCTGAGTGTTCTGTTAGCAATTTGTGTGATTTTCACTTTCATATTCTAAAACTTGCTCATCGCTCTGGGAGGTTCAAACCACTTACTCTTTTCACCTTCTTTCACATCGACTGTGTCAACTTCGAAAACAGAAACTCCAAAACCTAGCATTTTTATTACATTTTTTCTTAATATCGTAACTGTTCTTCCGATTCGGATTGATTGAATTGTTTGAATCTCAATGTTCCAAATGATTCCATATCTTCTTCTCTAGAACAGATTACAGTTTGCACATATAATAGCAATCTTATTTTTGTCTGCGCTAATTTGCTACATTCACGAAATTGAACTTCCATTTTGCACTTCACATTAATACCTTTGGAGAAGCGATAAACGCATTTATTATGTTTCTAGCTTTGTGTAAACTTGTAGGGTAGACTGAGTAATTTTGCTTTGGGAAGACAATCAATCAAGGATTAGGATAAATTTGAATACAAAAATATGGATCATACCAATTAAATTTTACATAGATAAAGTTCTTCGTAATGTGAGAACTGTACATGCGAGAACAATTTTTTGTATTTCTTTCAGACATCGTCTACCAGGAATCTTTACAGTGAGTAATCATTTCGAGGCCTTTAATTACAATTGGAATTATTGATGTCCTCATATACCATATTTTTTAGATTTACACTTCAAGATACTTATATTTTGATAGACTTTTTGGAGATCTTCAAAGTTACATTGCAATCCTCAGGGACTGCCATGTCAATAAGAAAGTATATTCTGTTTTTGCGGTCGTTGATCACGATGCCTGGAAGATTAGCTTTGATTGTTCTGTAGATTGTAAAGTCCCATAAAATAGTTACAGGACATATCAATGTAACCGGATCTGGGTGATGTGCATACCAGTTTCTTGCAGTTTCCTTGTCGTAAAAGTTGCATATTTCCCAGTGAAGTTATTGGCTCAATGTTATTATTATTATTTTTATTATTATTATTATTATTATTATTATTATTATTATTATAAGATAGGAGTTATCAACTATTTAAAACTCAAATTTTGTGTTTCGATTTTTTACGAATTTACTTCATCTGCAAACCTCTTAAATAAAGAAACAGCAGAAAAGAAAAGGCACTTGGCCCGGGCAGCGCTGTGTATCGTTGCTAGTTTGTTATGAACAAAATTAAAATAAAAAAAGGATAGAATGCAGACGTTAACATTTTAAACTTTTGTTTCTTGTTTCTTATCACGAACAAATGTTTTTATCCGACAGCGATAAAAATCTCTTACAATGATTTTCGGAATTGAAACGTAAATTTACAAGAGATCGGTTAAGATAGGACCGGAGCTAGGCTAATTATAAATCAGCTGCCTTCCTAGTATATATATATATATATATATATATATATATATATATATATATATATATATATATATATATATATATGTGTGTATGTATGTGTGTATGTATGTATGTGTGTGTATGTGTGTGTGTGTGTGTGTGTGTGTGTGTGTGTGTGTGGATTCAACTCATTTGTCTTGAAATATTTATATCTCCGGACACACATGAACCGTGGATTTTTACTAATAACGAGGTTTAAATTCAATTAAAATTTCTGAAAACTAAATCTAATAGATTTTAAAATATTAGTGATCATTTTGTTTGTTTATTATAAAACAGTTTTATCATTATGTATGCAAAATTATTCTTAGGCCGTTGTATGGTTTCCGCTAATTTAATATTGTCTTTAGTCGACTGAACGAAAAAAATCGCATGGATCTAATTGCAACAGACATTTAAACATATAATAACTGCTTATATGTGTGTATATGTGTATACATGTGTGCACATTTGTGTGTGTGTGTGTGTGTGTGTGTGTGTGTGTGTGTGTGTGTGTGTGTGTGTGTGTGTGTGTGTGTGTGTGTGTGCGCATATATGTGTTTACCTGCTTGTGTGTGCACGGGAAATTAAATAGAAATCAAAGGACAGGTTGAGTTCCTGTCCAAATCTGAAGATGATAAGGTTTCAAGGAAATTTTTAAAAAAGTAAAGAGAGAAATTTGATTGACTACGTTGTTAGTTTCAAATGATTTTTTTCTATCTAAAAAAAATAAATAAAATGATTTCAGGAATGTGGTAGCAATTTCTGACTGAAATATATGCAAAGAGCAAATATTCCTTAATATTATTACATTGTTCGGGATGTTGTCCTCATCCTTATTGTCGGGTCCACAACGTTTCGGCCGTTGTACGCTCTGGTTTTCTTCAGGTGACTGGAATTTCGAACTGAACCCTTTATATCGTTCATCGGGGTAGATTGTTCTAGCTGCACGTGCCATGCCTCTTCCAGGTGCCTCGGTTATCTCGTTTTAACTCAACTGTCCAAGTTTTTTTTGTTCAGCACTGCTTTAGCCAGATACTGAACTCACAACTCTTTGGGTCAAGTCACGCTTTTATCCACTGGGCATTGAAGACAAAGTTTGCATTTTGTGTTTTTTGTATCTATTAGTTTGAAATCTTTTTTCTTTTTTTTTTACGATTCTCACCCAAATTAAATTTGTTTTTTGTCCTTTATGTTATAAATTTGATTGTTTGGTAATTTTTGCTTTCATTCATTCGTAAATCTTTCATTTTCTTCGCTCTCCTCTTTCTTTCTTTAATGTCTTGCTATTTTCCTTCCAATTTATTCTTCTACGTTTCTTTCCTTTTTTGTCTTCTTTTGATCGGTTTTTCAAGGTTTCATCATTCTTTCTTTATTTCATCTGTCCTTGAATTAGTCCTTTCTTTATTTTTTTCTTTCATTGAGTCCTTCATTGAACACTTTCTTTCATTCTTTTCCTTTTTAAAAAGCCATTTTTCTTCACTTTTTTCTTTTCCTTCACTATTTTGCAATTACTTTTATTCTTGGCAACCTTCAGTCAGTTGCTCTTAATCGCAGTCTTGAAGAGTTCCATTCTTTCCGCTTCACTGTCCTCCTTGTAAGTTGACGTGTGGCTCGTGGCTTCATTAACAGCCTGGTCAAATGTAATGTTCATTGTCGGTAGCCAACCACCAGGTCACACACGAACACGTGTCATTCAAATGAGCCACGGTCCACACCACCAAGGCTAGAATACCAAAAAGAATATATTTCTTGCTTTCTTTTTTTAATTTGAAGAATGTTGCTTTATATTGGTTAATTTTATATTTTCTCTCTCTCTCTCTTTTTATTTTTAGCTGACAAGTTATTGCCTCATCTCTTGTAGTCGGTTCATATCTTTTCCACATCTATCGCAGGCATCATCTTTCTTTCTATGAGAATTTATTCCGCAAAGCAATTTGCGAAATAAAATTCTTAATAACCTACTAATATTAGTGAGAACTTCAAGATATATTCATATGTAAAGAAAATGATAAGTATAACTGTTAAGGGACCATACCCATAATAACATAATGGACTATTCCATACGTAATAAATACTGCGCCTCAAGAGGAAGCAGGGAGTTCAGTCTGAAGTCTGGAGTTCAGTCTGAAGTCTGGAGTTCAGTCCGACAGGAGTCTGTCAGTCAGTCAGAGCGAGCGAGTCAGTCAGTCGAGTCAGAGGCAGTCCGAAAGAGAATCGCGTTCAGACAATTACTACTAAACCTGATTGTTCGTACTAACACTTTCTACTTCTCTGTATATATTCCTGTTTGTAATATATCTGTGTTATTCCATATCCGTATTCGAGTTCTTCTTTATTGGTTCTACCTTGGACCATCACCGTGGTACAAGGAACCGGACCATAACAATAACATCAGAATTTTGTCTTATGCGATCTCTTTTATTAGAAATATTTAAATTAACTTTGTTCATCACAGATTTTATAATGCGAAACATTATTCATCTTATTTCAAATAATGTTTATTCGTCGTATTGTAATAAATGTATTTTAAAAGTGTAAACATTGATATG